CCTGCCGCTGGACTGCACTGTGCTTCTCCTCTTCAGTGCGTCCATCATCGTTCTCCATGGCAATCCGCAGGCGGTACTGGGGGCTGGATTCAATCTCCCGAGCCAACTGGGCTGCACGCAGCTCCCGCTGACGAAACTCTTCTGAGTTGTCCTTCTCTAAGGGCACCCTGAGAAGACCACCAGAGACCACCACCATCCCAGTGCCAGGGGACAAAAGGGAAAAACAAACAAACATTTCTATCAGTCCTATCACAACCCAGCATTATTTAATGGACATCTACTAAAGTGTCCCAGGCAGAGCAGCAAGGCAGCTCTGATTCTGGGGGGACACTTAAAACACACATTTAAGTACATTTTAAGTTCTAGAGGAAAAGTATGGACAAATGGGCAAGCAATTAATTTTACCCATGAGGTGGCCTGGAATCAAGATTAAAAGCAAATTCTTGAAAGCAGTTCACAAGGCATAACAGGAGTGGGGAGAGGGCAATCTGAACACCCAGAAAAGCATGAAAAAAGCCATGTTCCACCTAGAGACCTGCCCCTCTGTTGGTGACCCCCTGCCTCAAACCGCACCACATGCGGAGTACCAAGACACTCACGTGTAAGATGAGAGACTGCTATCATAGGTGGTCTTTACACCATAGTTCTCCTCATTGAACTTGAACATTTCATTGGGGTCCCATCCATTGGACTAGGAGGAAGGAGGGAGAATGTTTTAACACCCAGCGAGAAAAGCAACAATGACCCATCGTTTTCTGTCAGACTGAAAAATTTAAAAATCTGACCACACCAAAAACTGGAACACAGCTGGTGAGAATATCAACAAGAACTGTCAACTGCAGCACAAACAGGCAGTAACTAGTAAAACTGAAGTCATAAAACCTAAGAACTCCATTTTCAGGTTTATACCCCAGAGAAATTTTGGTATATGTGCATGTTCTAAAAATTCAATAAGGCAACTATGACAAAAAAAGCACAAATCAGTAGGGAGAGAGAAATACAACGTGGGTATTCATAGATAGGTTCATAAGTAGAACAGTACACAACAGTTAAAAGCAATAAACTAGATCTATGAAGCAACACGAAACATTCAAAAACAGGCAGAGCCGAAACCGGTTTGGCTCAGTGGATAGTGTCGGCCTGCGGACTGAAAGGTCCCGGGTTCGAATCCGGTCAAGGGCATGTACCTGGGTTGCGGGCACATCCCCAGTAGGAGATGTGCAGAAGGCAGCTGATCGATGTTTCTCTCTCATCGATGTTTCTAGCTCTCTCTCTCTCTCCCTTCCTCTCTGTAAAAATCAATAAAATATATTAGCCAAAACCGGTTTGGCTCAGTGGATAGAGCGTCGGCCTGCGGACTGAAAGGTCCTGGGTTCGATTCCGGTCAAGGGCATGTACCTGGGTTGCGGGCACATCCCCCGTGGGAGATGTGCAGGAGGCAGCTGGTCGATGTTTCTCTCCCATCGATGTTTCTAACTATCTATCTCCCTTCCTCTCTGTAAAAAATCAATAAAATATATTTAAAAAAATAAAATAAAATAAAATATATTTAAAAAAAACAGGCAGAAAAAGGAAGTTGTTGTACAAATTAAACAGCAATTCTCACTTATGAGAATTAAATGATTCAAAGTATAGTAGCTGTTTTTTTGGAAGAGAAATGTGCCTACACAGTACTCACTCTTGTCTAGACTTTGTGTTAAGTTGAAAAAAATGACTTGAAGCAAACATTAACAATTGTCAATCACAGACGGTGAGAGAACAGGTATTTCTGTTTTGTTACTTTCTGTGCCTTTCCATTTAGAATCTGATTTCATGACCAGGCAAGAGTAAATGATCCCCTCACCCTCCCCAGAAGCAACTCAGTTCCAAGAATGACAGTGGTGTCAGTAACCCACACTCTGGCAGCAGAGCTGCCCAGCTCTAAGGGTCTCAGGGAAGGAGACTGTACCATATCAGAGTCGAGGTCGTAATCATCACTGTTGCTGTCACCACCCTCCCAGCGCTGAAGCACCTTCTCCTTGTGTTCCCCATTCACCTTCGAGTTCATGGCAATGGCCGAATCAGTGAACTTGTCTGTGGGCGCAGAGATGAAGATCAGGAATCAGGTGATACCTCATAGGCTTTCCCCCAATGTCCCCCTTCCCATAAATTGTTTAGAAGCAAATAAAGTCTGTGTGTGCCACGGTTTGGCGGTTGGGTAGGCACAGCATAAAAATTATCATCTTAGCCCTAACCGGTTTGGCTCAGCGGATAGAGCGTCGGCCTGCGGACTCAAGGGTCCCAGGTTCCATTCCGGTCAAGGGCATGTACCTTGGTTGCAGGCACATCCCCAGTGGGGAGTGTGCAGGAGGCAGCTGATCGATATTTCTAATCTCTATCCCTCTCCCTTCCTCTCTGTAAAAATCAATAAAATATATATTTTTTAAAAATTATCATCTTAGTAAGTTTATAAGCAGCAAGGAGTTGAAAACAAAGCAAACAGGAAAGAGCCACAACATAGGCCAAATTTGTCCCACATTATCTTACACATCAAGATTCATTCTCTTATAAACTTTTGAACAATAATAGATACAGAGGCAGAGCTGCCTCAAACAGATTGTCAAACTGCAGCGGGAAGGCCGGGGAGGGTTGGGGGGCAGGAGAGAGGGGGGTAAGAGATCAACCGAAGGACTTGTATGCATGCATATAAGCATAACCAATGGACATAAGACACTGGGGGGTAGGGGAGGCCAGGGGATTGTCAAGGGCGGGGGAAAAAAAGGACACATATGTAATACCCTTTGTAATACTTTAAGCAATAAAAAAATTTAAAAAAAAAAAGATTCATTCAAGAAAAATCCAGTCATCTTCCTCAGAAAACAAGGTAGTAAAATGGGTGGTTATGGGAGCGAATCAAGCATCATGTAACTGCTCTCAGCTCTCCATCACAGAGTGGGTTTGACATAAGAGCATGGCACAATACCTTTAGTGGCATAATTGAAGTCAACATTTCGGAAATGGACAAGCATGACATCACTTGGCTTAAACACCATGGTGTCCACAATGTCTTCCCGACGAGGGCCACCTACTGGCTCAGATGCTTTCCGGTGCACAGCGTCTACTGCCAGTTCAAACTAAAAAAAAAAAAAAAAGGTCCCATTTTCCAACACCCAAGGTCAATATATTAAGGCAAATATGACTATTTTTCTCTTTACCTTTTTAAACTTCCCAACATCATGCATAATGTCTTCTCAATATCAGCCACAGAACTTAGCATAAGTCCCCAAATTAAAATTTTACACTTTAAATTTTAAGCGTTTTTACATTAAAGTACCCAGCCCTCACATTTCAGACGTATGCCTTTCATTGCTTGCAGCACTGAAATCCAGTGCAAGCCTGAAGAAATGCTGTCCAACACCACTCTATTCACATCTTCAATGAACCTACTTCATTCTCCCTTCTTCCACACAACTCCAAAAGTAAGCTAATTTAAGTACACTGACCTTTGAGCTCAGAGTCTTGAAGATACCTTCATAGGTGGTACCATTCTTCACCTTTACATCACAAGTGGAGCCCTAGGAAAGCGTGAAAAATAAGAAAATCGAACAGATGCATGGCATCTCTCCAACAACCTAGAGGTTAGGTGCCCACTTACCACAACAGCTGTAAGGAAATGCAGCATTCTGGAATTATTGTAGACACCCTCAAATACCTGTAACATAGGAGGGAGAAATAAATAGCCAGTCAACATCTCACCTTCCAAAAATGCATACTCCACACACACCCACCTTGTAAGCGCTGGGCCCCCTGCCCTTCTGAGCCTACCCGACTATTTCTGTACCTAGTCTGTCCTATAGTCATACATATGCATCTTTTAGGTCTCTGTACCTTTTTTTTCTTTGGGGGGGTGGGGGGGGAGAACAACTCACCGGTGACTGTGGGGGTCCTTTCCCAGTGCTTTGTCCCCTATAAAAGGAATTAAGAAACTAGTTATTGAAATCTGTTCAATCCCTCTTACACGATTAATTTCAAAGGACTTGGTATCCTAGAACCACACACTATGTGAAAATGCTGATCTAGGCTAAAATTCATCGACCAGATTTCCAAACTTATAGATTCACCTTATAGAGGAAAAAGGCACAGACATTATATACCACTAGACACATTTCCTCCAAATGCCAGTAAAATAGTCTTCAATCAACCACCACTGTCTCACTTTCTCCAAGGGGCCAAGGCTGCATCCTTCCAAGAGACCATTGCTCCGGCATTAGATAGATAATAACCCCTCTCGGATGTAAAAGCGGAGCTCCGCGAGTACAGACCCGGAAGTCCCTAGCTCAGGCACGTTACCTCCCAAACAGAAAAGACAATCCTTTTCAGGGCCTTACGCCCCAATTCCTGGGAGGACGGTAGTCCGTCTACCACCACCTTCTCGACCTCTTTACTCATTCAGCCGGTCACCCACTCTGAGAGGGTCGTCAATCGCCTAATAACGCGCTCCTCGCTGGCTGATGTAACCAGCGGTGGAGGAGGCTGATGAGGGGGCCGTTGGCGGGGCTGGGGGACAGCGCAGCCGCAAAAGGTATCCACCAGAGGCCTCGCCCGGTCTGCGCCTGCGCATTAAGACCCACGGGCCTCTTCAAAATACCCCCTCCCGCGATCGGAACCCACTGCGCCTGCGTGCGCCGCCACGCTCAGTTGCATTATTAACCCATACACAGAAGAAACCGAGTGGTGTCTGCCACTCGGCCACGACCCCTGCACGCACACTCCCAGCCGCTGCCCTGCTACTGGGGCTCGCGGAGGCCCGGGTCTTCAGACGGAGCATCCACGCGCGCACGTACGCAAAGGGCGCGCGCGCTCTGGAGGCTCCCGGGCCGCAGTCCCCCCAGTTCTCTCCTTCCGTTCCCCCGCCCAGCCCGCTCCCCTCCTACTGGCCAGACCAGGAAGGGGGAGGTGGCAACCCGCTCCAAGTCCCTCCCTCCCCATTGGCCAAACTGTGGGCCGCGCGCCCCCCTTCATTGGCTACGGCCCGGACCCCTTCCTGCAGCTGACTCCCCATTGGCTGAAGCCGGGAACCGCGAGACCCTTCGTGGTAATGGAGCTGGGAACCCCGATCACCTCTTCACCCCCCCAACTCCTCGTTCCGATGCGCTAGCGGGGTGCGCCCCGCCTGCCCCTAAGGCCCAGGCTGCGAGCCCTAACTAGGCTGAGAGCTGAGCATGGCCCTTCCATGTCCCGGTGGCTGTGGGGGGGCCCTTTTCCTCTGACCTGTTAGGGCCCATCCCCAGCCGCATGGGGGGGGGGGTTCCCCAGTCCCCCCTCAAAGGTGGCCAGGCTAGGAGCCCGCCTCGCGCGGTGTACTGAAGTCCAGACTGCCGGGCCGGAACCGAGCCGCTGCCGCCCTGCAGCCTGCGCTCCAGCGCCCGGAAACCCAACCCTCCTCACCTGGCGCTGCCGATGGCCGCTGCCCCTGGCCTCTCCTGGTGTTGCTGCTGCTGTGACGGCGGCTGCGGCGCCAAGATGCCCTCGGCTCCCCGGCGGAGCCCGCTCCCGGCAGCAGACGCAGGCCCCAGGCAGGGGGAAGCGGCAGCGGGAGGTCCTGGGGGAGCCGAGGAGGAGGCCAGGGGGCCCGGGAGGCCACCGTTGGGAGGGCTGGTGCCCCCGGGAGGCCGGCGGGCCACGGCCTGTTGCGTGGGGGGCGGCTGCTGGGGCTGGGACGTCTGTTGTGGCGGCTGAGGCTTCAACATGATGGCAGCAGTGCCGGAAGGGGAATTAGGGGGAAGGGAGGGAGAGGAGGCCGCGGCT